CTGATCTCCACATCTGGGATTTGTATACTTTTCGCTCCGCCATGCAAGTGGCGTTCACGTGGCTTCCTGTTTATATCTGGTATGTTGCTTGTCACCAGCAGACGACAGATCTTACAGATTTTTTGCTAAATTTGTTATATAGGCAATTGATTTGCATCTGAAGTGGTATTAACGATCTCGGATAAATAATATTGATAGTTTTTGCATCCGCCCTACCAGTGAAACTGTTTATGCACTCCGATCGCGCACGTAATCCCCCGATATAGCGCGAGCAATGTAATCGTCGAAATCACCACAACATCGAATTCAGCTCGCTTTGGATATATATTATATCGTTGTGAAGAATGTCTAAGAGAGTTTGCACCTAATTAATTTTATGTTACATAAAAGGATAATTAGGCTATCAAGAGCGAGCAATATGTGTTCAAGCAGAGTTCAGTAAGGCGGTTAATGCCGCTATTACGTTCGGTTTTCGATCGTAAACGTATGCACAAGCCAGTGGCCCTTATCGTTGTTAATTTTTTTCCATGTTATTTCTGAAAGATATTTTTTTAATTTAACATTGCAGCTAATTTTCATTTTTTTAAACTATGACAATTTTGCTCGTTTAAGTCGTTGGAAAGTTGCATCGATTTTATACCACGAAAATGGGGAATCGAAATAATTTCGAAATTAGTTTCTGATCCACATGACTGTGGGATAGTTACTGGCTGTCATAGTGTGTGTATGTTATAAAAACTATTTCTTAAAAGAAATGACAGACGCATTCTTGTTAATTAACACTGACTAAACTAATTGTTAAATGACCATCTGCTGGGTTGTCGGATTGTTGTTTGTCCACTATTACCGCATGTTTTCAAGTGCTATACTGAAGCAGAGACGATATAATAAATAATATTTAGTGTGTTTAATAAATAATATTTATTATATGGTCTCTTATTAAAGGTACTGTGTTTACACTGTGTATTCTTAAATTTTCCCCAGACAAATTAATTAATCGGTTTTGGATAGATGTATTTCCCTTCTAGACAAGAGCCAGAAATAAACGTGTGGCCCACGCTATAACGGGGCGTTGGCGATGACTAGTCCTCGGCTATGAGTTGGCACTGTATGGCCACTTGCTATACCACAGTGTATGGCCACAGTCTATCACAATATATTGTCAGTGAGGTGATCAATGATTGGTGATGATTTACATAAAAATATTGATCTAATTGCTTTTGCAGGAAGAAGATATAAACAATGTCGAGGTATGACACCAAGATATAAGTGACATCGTTTGAAACCGTGTTGATTAGGGTTTTTCATTATTTTTCATGATACAGTATTCCATAGTGAAAATGGCGTGGTCTCAGTTTAGTAAATGTTGGACCAAATAAAGTTGTTACAATTCTTGGTGAAATGATGTTTCGGTGAAACCGAAAACATCGTGATCGAAAACTGAAGAATCTGGTTACAATGTTCGCAACGAAATCGTACTGCAGCTGCAACTGTTCCGCGAGTAAGGCTTGAATCATGTAGCTAGTTACAAAAGATGTGTAGACTAACTAGATCTACTTTATATGCTTTATGGAAAACGGTTTAATTTATAACTTGTGATAATGCGGAACATTGTTATTTTCATTGCAGAAAGGGCGAAAATGAGACAAGCATTCCAGGATATACAAACACATGATGGATTTATGGAGGAATACATCAAATAATCCAGGAGCTGTGAATTATGTAAGTGCAGCTGTTAAATACCATTGTCTATAAACATGTTGATATATTTTGGGCTTTTTATTGCAAGATTTGATTTGTACCTGTACCCAGCCTCTGACCAGTAAGTGAGATTCTGTGCTTGCTACATCTTTGGTATTCAGCATGATTCTGGACATTACCATATCAATCATTACATTCCAATAGTGTGTCCATGTCCACCAAACACGTGTCTGTACAAACGTGGTAGAAGACTTAGTCTCCTGGTTAGTGTCACTTGGCTTGAGTAAATATCACATTTCAAGTACCTGCTTAAGATTATTGAAAGTTTTGTATATTTCAGAAATATGGATGACTGCAAAAGCAAAGAAGAAGATAATGAAACAAACTGAAAAAGTGTACACGTTTCCTGAATTATTAATAAAATTGTTCATTACAAGTCTGCCATTCTTTTATCTGTTTTGGTGTCCTTGTAAAGATTAACTATCTATGTCCATAGGGACCTGTGTCGCTTAGAAACAGCGTTAGAAAGACATATAGGTGTATAGACCCAACCCTATTATATAGTAAAAGGGTTGAGTCTAGACATCTATATGTCTTTCCAACGCTGTTTCTAAGTGAGACACGCCCCTATGTATATGTCTAACTATTTGCCACGGACATATTCTGTACATTGTTAACTGTTAGTGTTCTACGTTTTGTTCCAGTGGTTTACGTTTTAAACAAAACACCACCTAATTGTTATCAGGGCTATTCTATATGTTTGAAAAGTTAAAACTATATGTCTAAAGGAAATGTTAATAAAACGTTTCCAGAACCATACAAAATCACATCTATAAAACGTTTTCAGAAAACTTTTATGGATAATATTCACTAAATGTTGGAGAAAACATTGCTGAAACGTTTCTGGAACCATACAAAATCACGTGAATAAAACATTTTTTTAAAACATTTCCAAAACATCTCGAAAAAACATTTCAGGAAAACATTTCTTATAGTTAAACGTTTTTTGAAAAAAAAACATTTCTGGAACCATACAAAATCACGTGAAAACATTTCCAAAACACTCGAAAAACATTTCAGGAAAACATAAAACCTTATAGGTAAACGTTTTTGAAAATGTTTCTAAAACATTTCTGGAACCATACAAAATCACGTGAATAAAACATTTTTTAAAACATTTTCAAAACATCTCGAAAAAACATTTCAGGAAAACATTTTAAAAACCTTATAGTTAAACGTTTTTGAAAATGTTTCTAAAACATTTCTGGAACCATACAAAATCACGTGAATAAAACATTTTTTAAAACATTTCCAAAACATCTCGAAAAAACATTTCAGGAAAACATTTTAAAAACCTCAAAGTTAAACGTTTTTGAAAATGTTTCTAAAACATTTCTGGAACCATACAAAATCACGTGAATAAAACATTTTAAAAAATGTTTCTGGAACATTTGACGAAATGTTTGGGGATATTTTTAAAACATTTTCGTGTTAGCTGGGAAGTCGCATTCATTCGTAAATACAAAACAAGTAAAGATGTTAAAAAGGATTTTTGTTTTGTTTTGTAAAAACACTTAAAAGTGTGACAATAATATTAAGTGGCACAATTCAACAAATTTTCGGCCAATAGGAGAAAACGTTTCTCTATTACAAGGGGGTGTTTCCCTGTGACGATTACCCTGGCAAGCTAACGTTTATAATTAAAATATAAAAGTGAAACATTTTACGTGTACTCCTTGCCCTTACCCTCGACACTGGAGACAAGTCATGCAGGAATTCTGGCTGTTTCCCGATACATTTCACTGATTAATGCATATACTAAAATATTGCTGTGACAGCACATTTGTGTTTCTTGTTGTAGTTCCCATTTACAAAAGATACGTTCTTACATAGTTGAATCTAGCAAAGCCGAATATCTATGTGGAAAGTGTGGTTGTGCAAAGGAGCCTTGACATTCCCCAATGTGATTCATTTAAATTGTGTTCAGATGATACCGGGCGAGAATATGCACAAAAATTAGGGGAAATAACACACACGGGAAAGGGTTGGGTGAGGGTTCAATCCACCAAAGAAACACATCTATGATGATGCTTCTGTCACGAGTTGCAACAGATATTGCTCTTCAAATCATAAACGCTACATAAGCGCAACACACACACACACACACACACACACACACTCTCTCTCTCTCTCTCTCTCTCTCTCTCTCACACACACACACACACACACAGTGAGTGAGTGTGGTTTTACGCCACTTTGGCAATATTCCAGCAATATCACGGCGGAGGACACCAGAAATGGGCTTCACACATTGTACCCATGTGGGGAGTGGAACTCGGGTCGCCGGCGTCACTAAGAGAGAGAGAGAGAACGCACAGAAAGAGAGGCACACAAACAGACAGACACACACACGCATACGGAGACATATGTACATTGTTCCAATGATTTATTTCCTCATACAGAGATTTCAGTTGAATTACACAATAAATGCCACAATTTGATAAAATATATACGCGAAAGTACAGGATGCGTGCAAAAACATAATTATACTAAGAAGGAAAGAGGACGAGGAGGTATAAATAGTAGAAATAGCTCGATAGGTCCCGACAATCGAGGATGGCATCCAACACATACTTGCATCAAGATATATGGCATAGGAAACAATAGTTCCGCCATTGCCTTGTGATTAACAGACATGCCACTTTAAGCGCGGTGGAGTATGATTATTGAAAGGGGTTATATATAGTTGTTGACGAAAACGGACGGAAAGTTATATATCAACTGTTACATTACATGACATATACTTAATGTAGGTGATGACCGCTAGTAGAACACACATGTTATTGCCCTGTTTATATATTATACGACTCATCTTGTTACAGGTTTTCGTTTATGTAACTTAACTGCACTGGGCCTAGCAGATGGGTTAACCAGGGTATAAACAGTGCTTAATATATGTCTATGAAAACAATGCTAGGTTTGAGGTAAAATGTCCAAATATAGAGGATGCATAACGTGGTCAATTTGCTTCATTTGAATAAATACGCCAGGCCGCTGTATATTTCTAAATCTACAGAACAGCGGAAATGCTTAGTGATAGGTGTTCACCCTGTCTATGTCTTTTCATAACGATAATGTCAGACATCTCGTCATATGACTTTTAACAAACTTCACACTGATGAATTGCTGTCACCATAAATACGTTAGTCACGTACAAAGCAATGTGACCATAAGAACCGTTTCATATCATTCAGCAAATGTCCCTACTCACACGAATTGAACCAGCGGTACTCACCAGCAGCGACGGTGAACAGAAACACCGACAGGCATGTTCCTATAAGACCTGGCTGCGCCATTGCTCCTCTCACCTGTTAGAACATTTTAAATATACATCATTAGATTCACCCACATCGACCTTTGTTACATTTCTGTGATTTATCAGTGTGTCGGTAAAGCAGCATTTCATGCTGTTGTTGTTTGTAATATTGGTCTGTGGACAGGAACAATCAGTTTGAGTGTCAGTAGTTTTGAGTGTTTGCCTCTTGGCTTTGACCACAGTCAGAATTGTTCTAGCTATATCATGTCTAGCTGCTAAAGTTCGAATCTGATATAGAGAAACCAAGTTGTGTCTGTCATGAGCAACTCCGCCGTGTCGGTCCAACCAATGCAAAGCACTTGCTTCTGAAAACAAGGTTAGTCAAAATCTATTGTAAACCGGCTCCTCACACAGTAACATACGTGTATATTCCTTTAATACAATGCTGTTCTGACGCAAAGCCAGGAGTTCGGCTATACTTTTTAAGACTTGTTTGGGATATTTTCATTCTTACATGGATTTATGTGCTGGTCACCAAATTGAAAGAGACCGTGCGATGACATACGTGTGTTCACTATGTACTGAAATTAATGTGACAGAAAAGCTTTGTTTAAGTATTCCAGTGTGACAGCTTATACGATATAAATGTATGGTGTTCATTTATATGTAAAGTTGTATAGCTGATGACTTAAATGGGGTAGATGATGTAGTCCTTGTTTAATTTACAACCTTTGACATCTCGCTTAAATCTTTGACTATGTTGTCAGTTTGTGTAAATGCTGCACGAATTTGTGATTGTCATTTACGCAAACGGATGTGGTTTTGATGAGCTCATAGACAAAGGAAGTCGTCTCGGTGACAGGTGCGATAAGATAATTACAGAGTCAGAGAACATAACATCAGTCCGAGTTCTCGACATATCCCGTTCCAGACTGCCCAAAGAAACGTAGTCAAAGTGAAGAAATTAAGAACGACAAGGAAGTGTCGTCTCCTGTCATCCTGTAAACTCAGAAATGTTTTCTCTGTGTAAAAATAACCTGTCACAAGGTCCTATAAATACGAGACGTCATCCCCTTTTTTTCCTTGTGTAAGTATGCAGGATACATTGTTCATGTCACAATGCCCATTAAATAAGTACGTGATCACTGTTTTCTCCTTGTCTAAACGTGTGCATAAATCTGCCCTCATGTGCTCATGTTTAAGTCCTTCTGCAAATGTGCAAACATCTACATATGTCCTTCCACAATATGGTAAAAATACGTACGTGATCATGTTTTCTCCTTGTGTGAATGTGCAGATACATGAAAATGCCTTGTGCCAATGTCCTTTACATAATGGCGCTATAGCGTTTTCTCCTTGTGTTAATGTACCAAAGTCCTCTATTTTATTGCGGGATCATGATTTATCCTTGTGTAAATGTACCAAAGTCCTTTATTTAATTGCGGGATCATGTTTTCTGCTTGAATGTACCAAAGTCCTATATAATGGCGTTATGATGTTCCCTCTTTGTTTGATTGTGCCAATGTCCATTATGCAATGGCTGGATGATATTTTCTCTTTGTGTAAGTGTGCTAATGTCCTTTATGTAATAGCGGGATAAGATTTTCTCCTTGTGTGAATACGCATATCCGATATGTCCTGTCATAATGTCTTATTAATGAGTAAGTGATCACTGTTTTCAAAGCAGGTTCCGTGAGTCATGATTGATGAGTGACATACATCACATGATCAAGCGTGTACATGGTCAGGAAGAGAGGGTTAAACTGTCCCAACTGTGATGATCCAGACCATATAATTGCAATACGCAACAACTGTGACTCTAGCATGTGACAGTGATGCATGGACAAATACATCAAACATCCTTTGTTGTTTCATCTGATTGCGATGAGGAACCAACGCCTCTCTTTTGAATGCTTGTAATAAGTACTCACAAGAAGCAGCTAATACGGTGACATGTCTCCTTAATAACAAATATTTTTTCTTAGAAATAATGGAAGAAATTGAATTCAACGAGGCAACTAAGTCAAGACAAAGTTCTAAAATGTTCCCAGACATTATTGTATGTACCAGAAATGACATTTATGTTTTAAGACAACATACTAGTTAGTGTCGGTACGGGACATAAACCATCTCCACTTTTTTATCTTGACAAAACATGAAAAACATTTTTACATTTGAAAAAATGTTTGACAGACAGATCAATCAGAACTTTTTACTTTTTACACTATGTCTTTTCATTGTGTGAGTCTCGAGTGTAATGTCCTCAGTCTCTGGTACACGTCTACCAAGCTAATCTGTGATCTTTTCAAAGCTTGTCACAGGCTGTTTACACTTTCACGGGTTCTTTATCTATCGCGTGTTGGTTTTGAGATCATGAGTTACATGGAATGACGAGTACTTGACAAGGACATACGGTACCGTGAACTTCGTCATGGGCAATAGTTTTATGTTTCTTAATATTGAATATTTCATTCCAATTTCTCAAGATGAGTGTTTCATCTTCTACCATTCTATCATGAGTAGGAGGTAGCCGACGTAAACTAAATCATACGAAGCGGGTTCGAGTCCCGTAGGAGACACATTTTTTTCTGGGTAATATCGGAAAAAAATCTTAATCTTTCAAAACATTAAATAGTTTCGTCATGAGTACATTAATAGAAATTTGGATTCACAGAATGTAAACGTGAGGATCGTGCGAAAAATCGAATGACGTAAAGAAATGTTTTAACAATAGGGAATGTAATGGAGCATTAAAATGTTGATATTTTTAACTTTGATGCCTAAATATCATGGAATCATATACTTGATCACATATATGTTTAAGATAATGAAACAAACTCGCTCATTCTTACCACTCTGTGATGCTGATGCTCCCCTCACCAACAAGTCCAGGAACTAACGAATGTTCTCGCCAGCCCCTGCCTTTATCGCTTCAGGGGTAACCATTGCAGACTGACGTCACACCTCGACTTGTCAATCTTATTGTTTCCTACATTTTATGGCATGTACATGAGAGGATCTTATCAGTGCTTTTTTATTTGGTTAACATTTTATAGAAGTAAGCCCTAGAAAGTTTTAGAAAAAAATATATTGGCTTTGATTTCCAGTGCATGATATTCTAGTACGAGGCATCAATCAGCGCAGTTAAACCATGACGACGACGTCGTGTTGTTGTTACAATCGTGTCTAATCTTGAAATTCAAAGGGATATGTGAACATCCATTTTAACAAGTACTACTGGCTCAATGAAAGGTCAGTTTGCATACAAAAGACTATGTTATCCGTCATTGAAATATTCTGTCCCGATTGACATTCCACTCCCACGATAGCACGTGCACTGTTTCCTTTTCATCATGTTTTTAGTTAGATATACTAGCATAATTTTACTTTGCTTAATATAAGCAAACTAGCGCGGATGAATTGTACACATCCAATGAAAGCTGTTTATTGTGAACCAATCGAACTCGATAATTCGCCCAGGGCAGTAATACGTTATGGCCGCTACGAGACTATGGGGAGTCATTGGATATGTGTATCTATGGTGAACGCTACCTGCAAACCAACGGGTCACGTAGATTTGTGAGGCGATAAAACACTAGCATGATAAATTGTGATAAGTAGGTTCTCTGTTTCGTTGTAATCACGACTTTGCGCTGGAATACCTCTCTTGGACTGTTTAGTTTGTTGCACGTTTTTTTTGTTGAAAATAACAAAAATGCCATTGTGTAGAGTGATACTTTATAAAAGTAATTGAAATATATTCCCTGCACATACACACCTGGTTCCGATGCAACCGGTTTGGAGCCGATTTCCAGGGGAAAAAAAAAACATGATGAATTCTCTCCTGGATTTGTTGAAACAGAACTGAAACTCATTTCTGCTTGGGTTTTATTATTTTGATAGATGTGTGGCATGATTCACGTGCCCAACAGTGGATATTATCAGCTTCAGTTCACCAATTCATTAAATGAAAGGTATTGCAAAAGAGTCGTGAGAGAGCTGGGCTGTTGCTGTTGTCCCTGTTGTTGTTGTCGTTGTTGTTTTGTTGGATCTGAAACAAATTGTAACACAAACTGTATAATCATTGCATCTATAATTAAACACTGCGGCCCATACAGTGCTAGTCATCACGTAATAGAAAAAGGCTGAGTGACAGTAATGTATTCAAATAGAGTAGCGTTGAAAGATGAAACGGCGAGGATCAGCAGAATCCTACCGTTCCTGCCTAAGTACTGTCAGCAGCTGCCGGGTCATGGGATACCAAGGATGTGAGTAGTTCACAGAAACCGCTCTTATGTCCATGTGATTCCAAGGTATGGGCAGCATGTAGTAGGGGTGCAATGTCATTCAGACAAGTTGGTGCCAATCAGTAAGGAGATTAACATGCGGTGAGGTGAAATGAGATTTAATGGTGCACTAAAACACTGTATGGCACAGTGTCAGTGTGAGTGTGCGCGCTCGTGTGTGTACGTGTGTGCGTGGTTGCATTCACTAGTCCGAACGCTAGTACACTCGGTTTCCAGGCCGCAACTAAATATCAATACCCAACTACCTGACTCGTACCAGCCCTAAGTTTATCCCTTTGATATCGTGCGAAAGATTTTGGAAGGACGCTGTGACAGAATGCACCAACGACCCTGCGCAGTTTTATTCATTAAGGAGTGTGTTAACATGAGATAAATGATATTTACTCACAATAAAAGGTCCTGGTACAAGGTAATTTATTTAGGCACGTTCAGACTCTTACTTAGATTGTATAATTGATCTTAGTTGACAGAGTGACTTCCAGATTTCTATAAATATATTTCAAAGTAAGTGTGTCATATGTTATCTACAATACAATATTATAAGTTCGAACAGCAGTATTTCCAACCAACAACAGAAACAACAACCTCAATGAACAGCCAACCAGTTACTCAGTATGTTGCCTCCTGTCACGAAATAATAACTTGTATCACCACCAGGATGTTTTCATTATGCATGGTCGGTATAATCCACTTATGTTATTAGTTGTACTTTCATTCAGTATTTGAAGATATTTTCAGCACTGTAGGAGGTGCTGGTAATGTTTGTTATCAATCACATGCTGTTGTCAATGTTAATCTTCTGTGTGAGAAATACGCATCATGTCGGAAAGCGCACGTAAACTCTCCAAATCATGATCATAGATTTGTTTGTTGTTCAACGACGCGTTCAGCAATATTCCAGCTGTAAATAATCGGGTCTGGGCCAGACAATCCTGTTATCAACAGCATGAGCAGCGATCGACGCATTTGGGATACGTTGACAGGTGTCAGCCAAGTCAGCCAGGTTGACCACCCGATCAGAAAGGATAGGTTGCTGAAGACCAATTCTAACCGTGATCTTCATCGGTTGTAGTCATTATAGCTCGATAAGGGTGTACGGGTGTAAATAAGAAGTTATTATCCATAAAATTGTATGCTTCGTTAATCGGTGCCAGATACACAATAACTATTCTTTTGTACGGACAGCATTTCTTCGGGATGACAAGTCGTGATTTTATGGAGGAGGAATGCTCACTTCTGCCCAAATGATACATATATTAAATACACTTACAGTCGCAGACTGTGTTGTTGAAACGAGGGACGTATCCAGGGTAACACTGACAGCTGAAGCTGCCCGGCTGATTGACACAACGGCCTTGGTTACAGATGGTCCCGTAGGCAATCTTGCACTCGTCAAAATCTGTAAAGGGTTATTAATTTGCCAGCATTTCACAATATTTCATTTATGAATGTTATGTCATTGTAAATTAACTGTGTCCATTGGTCAGCTGACCCATATCTGAATGCCTTGGTTCTGATGAATGTATTTAACTGGAAGGTGTCGTTAAATTACATCACATCTATACATTGCGACATATCACACAGATACATTTCAGCTAGTGCAGCGTAGTTAACTCAAAAGCGTGAACACGAAGGTGAGTCAGTCGATAGTTACAGGACATAAACACATGAATACCACCTCAACGCTTTAAATAATATACATTTATAGACTAGTGATGAGGTCAATACCTGTTTTTATGGACCCGCGAAAAGCAATATTGACCGAGGACGAAATCAATATGACGGAGTCAATATGGCTTTTGGTCGGACCTGGGTGGGAGTTAATATGCTTTTATGTCGACGGTCACGTGACTGCCTCTAGACCAATCAGGTAGCCGGAAAAATATGCTTACATAATGATATGTTATTACTCTCCCGTTGAAGATACTTCAGTTTATAGCTAAAACACATGGAATTATCATGAAACGGCCCTCCTATTATCAGAAATTTGCGGGCCGCTGCAAATGATATTTGACCGCTCAACCTTAACGACGGGCCACTATCAGTTCTGTTGTCAAGTGACGTCATAGTGGGTGCGTCGGTTCATTCGACATTGGCTTTGGACTGGCAGATATTCTGGGTCAAACAAGTCAAAGCAACACGAATTCCCGCTTTAAACAGCGGTAATATTGGCTTTCTTGCTGGTGCGAACCTTAACGATTGCACTATTAACGTTGTTGTTGGACCAAAACCGAACACTGACATAGTTTGACATGTTGCAGGCTATGGTCTTGTCAAAGGCCAAGGTCGAATATCGTCACTTATTGTTGTGACGTCACTTGATTTGTTCGATGACGTAATTGCATTCGGGCAGTCAACCCCGTCAGAAGTTGGTTTTGAGTAAGCTTACAGTCAAATTCCTTCATTGTTTCCTTTTTCTTTTCAACACAAATTCCATGTATTTTAGCAATAATAACGGTAATGCTATTCTTCCATTAACTGGTTTACAGATATGACGTGACAATGCTGATACTTCTGTCACAATGGTATTAGGCCTTGCTTGACTCACGCTGTAGCCAGTTTCTGTCGATTTATGTTGGAGAGTAATAAACAGAATAGTAAACTCGCTTCCGTGAAATATCAAATCATGAACTCGTTTAATACAAATGGTATTACAAGGAAGGTCGTTTAGTATTCCTCTATAAATCTCACCTTCACAGATATTTGCATCCAGTGTGGAATATGTAAATCCAGGGTTACACAGACACACCGGAGTGGCGAGAAAGGGGGGTCCCAGACACACGCCGTTCTGGCAGCCCGTAACTGTACACAGAGCTGAAATATAAAGACGGTAGCAGTGATTGTTGAAGAAGCAAATGAAGACAGATACAAGTGTACAGATACATACCTTGACCTTGGATATACTGAACTATTCCAAAGAAGCCTAAAGTACACAGCACATTAGCTACAGGAGATTTCATAGTAGCTTCCACAAAAGTAACGATACGTGCGTTTTAGCAAGGGCTGTTTCCGCACACGTCTAGTGGATAACAGCCGCTTATATACGTGACGTGTTATTTCTTATTGCCATTGTTGAAATCTATCGAATGACCGACATGTGACCACGCATGACCTCTCATAGACATACGTGGATAACGTCCTATTGTTTGTGTGCGTTTATATACAGTTTATGCGTACACTACCACAGCTCCATCGTTAAATGTGATATAATGCATGCATAAAAGTTATAATGAAGAGTGAGAAAATCTAGAATGCTAGAATGCTAGAATGAATGAAAGAATGAATGAATGAATGAGATACACCCGAAGATCATGCTAAGGATAAAAACTGTATAAAACACATTATGTACAAGACGTATTGAAGCTGTAAGTAACATGCCATTTGTCATCGTTTGTTTGAGGAACAGTTAAGTGTACACCAAAGAGGATCCTATGTTCCAGATAAAGAAGCAAAATAACATTATATATTCAAATATAATATAGTCAATAGCATCAGAAGAGTCAGGTAAATCCGCCCCAAGTAAAACTAACAACATCCCATCATCATCCAACGTTTCTAGTTTTACATAAACATCAACTTATAGCTTATCAACTAAAGAGGAGGAAAACATAATTTCTTTCAGACAAAATATTCACAATGAAGTATATAACAGTCATAAACGTATACATTATTTATAGTCTTTGGGCATATTTTCCCTGGAACGTATCTTAATACATAGCAGTAAAGGGTTTGCAATGTATGGAAAGAGACAATATATTCATTTAAGACATTATGAATTATAAAGCTTCGAGAGAGGCTCTTCTCTCTGTCTCTCTCTCTCCTCCTCTCTCTGACTCCCTGTCTCTTGCTCGCTCTGTCTGTCTGCCTGTCTGTCTTATTTTCTTCTTCTACAGCTGTAGATTATTTATTTCCATGAGGTTTTTTTTTTTTTTTGGGGAGGGGAGAGAAAAGGTCCACTGTATTATTTAACAAATTTACGCAATTATATTTTAGCAGCACATAACGAGATGAGAACATGTGCTCAGGTACTGTGTATTGTTACTGAAATAGTCATCTGCCAGTATGTGTAAAGTATAGACTTGACACAGTCATACACATTCATGTACAATCTGAACGGTTGGAATACACAAACGCTGTACACATATTAAATATATTTATGTGCGAACGAAACGGTTTTAATTCGCCAGAGACATATGAATTCTCATACACTGACAGATTGGCACAACACTAGTAGGAATTTTCAAGTTGCAATGAACCTTGTTTTCTACTCGTCAGTATCGCATTAAATAACGTAAAACGTAAAGTAAAAACTATCGAATTTGTTATCAAGTGCCGGATGATAATATTAGAGGGATATTTGTCAGAATCTGTTCACATTTTAATTAAAGGATTAGAAAATCCATTCAGTTTATGTGTTATGTGCAAGAGTAAAATCACATTTTTGACTGTCCAGCGAGAAATGGCAGTTGCTACCTACCAACTTTTTAATGAACGCTTTTCCCTTTCAAAATGTTACAATATCTAAACGTATATATAGAATATATATCTCGGTGACGACTGACGTCCGGCACTCCGAAGGGTATGAAGGAGTATCTGACAGTCTTTTGTTGTTTAGCCGTTTGCCCCGTCCGATCAGTCAAAGTACTTTTGACCTTTCCTTTTATCTTTCCTTTGTTTATTGATACTTTTTGGATAACCCACACAAGAAACAACAGCCACATTATGAGTATAAATACGCCATGCTGTCCAGCACAATAGCTACACATCATGACTCCTATCAACCGCGTCATCCTCGCTGCCGCCATCGTCGCTGTGTCCGTTCACTACATCAAAGCTCAAGGTATGGTGATATGTAGCATTGTATCTTTCAAACTGAGAGTTGGATATATAAATGCTCACACTATATATACTATTCACACTTTGCTAAGTATCAAACAATTGATTCAACTGAAAACTATGATGTGGGGTCTAGTTTGGTTTAAATATCTAAGATTATTGTAAGCATGGATCCTAGGTTTCAGTATGTTGCTGGATCTAGTGGATCCCATACCTGCTATATACTGGTGCTGTGTACTTGGATACAATTTCAAAGTATAAATCTATGTTTAAGTAAAGTTGGGATTTTTTGTGATCCTTAGCAAAGTGTGAGTAGTATATATAAATGATTCTACAGTTCCATATATAACATTGGGAAGAGAGGTTGTGTCAACAAGCACGGGTTAGGGGGTTCTGTGCTGACAAGCATAATCATGGTAATCATATACTTGTGGTTTTTCAGACAACGAGACCAGACATATTAGTGTACAGTTATAATGGTTTAAATACACATATACATATATAATTATACTTTCTGAAACTGCACAGGAACATATAGGTTTCTCTTCCACTTTCATTTGTTCAAATGTAGGCTTTGTGCTGTATTTCCTACTGACCTTTCAGCCGTCTCCTGCGCTGTCAGCGGGTGTTGGAATGGCGTGTGTCTTGAGCCACCATTAGTCCCAGTAGCAACATGTCAGTGTCAGGAAGGATTTGAGAAGACATTCCAAGATCTCAACGTTTGTGTCGGTAAGAATATTTATATTCACAAATATATAGAGCACTAATAGCTTCAGGGCAATGAAACGCCGGAAACAAGCAGTTATATTCATGACATAACATAGCCCATGAAATATTTGGACTCAATCATCATGTACATGTCTTCGCTTCTATACTTCTGTAAATGTGACCCAATCATTGATATTTCCATCGCACTCTGGATCGATCAGTTATATTCCAATGCACGTTCATATCGCCTCACGAAAAGTGTCAAACTTAAAACAAAAATGTAACAGTTACTGTGCTCAAATCCCAAATTATAATATTGCGCCTGCTATTTTACACTAGCACTCTAAAGTATAAAGGTATCAATTCCGAGTAATGTAGTATGAGAGTACTTGATTTTATGAAAGCATGCCGTAAACACCAGAAAATAATCACGCTCGTATATCTGGGGAACAGATTCAAATGAATCTTAAAGGAGTGAGTCATGAGTGCTTAACGTGACATTAGCAATATTTCAGCCATATCGTGACGAAGGATGTGAAAAGGAAACTAGGGGTGAAAATGTTATGAATGAGTCACTGACATTGACAGTGATTGCTGAAGGGGACTTTTCCGCGAAAAGGGTGAGCCAATCCTGCTCTACCGTATCACCCGAAACCCACACAAGTATTATTCAAAACGTTTTCCATATAAGATCATGGTAAGGAATAGGCCATTAAATTGCAAAACGATGTTAAATTCCTGTTAGTTGTTAGCTTAGTTGTAAGGAAATGCTTTTTCTTTTCATGACATGAAAGCTGAATATAACGTACAGGCTTCAAAGTATATAAGCAACTTTGTAGAAATTTGTAGAAATGTAGACGGCACAATTTGGAGTTGAAAATACGAGGGGCGTCCCAAAAGTAGTCGGTCTCACCTAGAAAATTATACGAATGCAGCTGTTTTTATACTTTATTTTTCAACATGTTATCTGTCAACCTCGAACAGAATTGCTTTTGCCATGTTCCAGCCTCACGATCCCCATTTTGTTTGACTCTTTATCTTGATACCCCCAAAAACGTAAAATCTGCAATAAATGCATCACAAACTTCAGGAAACAAAATATGCAAGAAACATTTTGTGTGTTTGAGATAGGCAGAAGTCTTCTAGAACCAAACGTAGATATTAAAGTGCATAAAAATGCAATATGAAACTACAATCGCTTGTTAAAGTGACTTCCCCCCTTCACATTTACTGAAAGAGCTTGTTTTGGAGACACTACCCAACCCCTTGTGATGACTAATATCTCGTTAACCACATTACCAACATATGTGAAATTTTGGATATGGCTTTGCTAATGATTCCTTCAAATAAAATGGAACTTTTCTTACATTGGACATCGAGAATATAGTTAGGCCGACTACTTTTGGGACGCAACTCTTAAATGCTCGACATGAACCTTGTCTGATGTCTCAACGTGTGGCACAAGGCAGAATGATATATCTTGATGTCATTTTTAGGAATAGGCATATTGTCACATATATGTGTATGTTGTCATAAATACCTACAGGGTATCCAAGATATTTTATGGATTAAACTTCTTTTTTAATTTCTCTCACAACGTTTCGAGACCATTCCAGGTCCCTTCATCAGGTGAACTCACTGTTTTCGTGAAGCTCCTTAAGGGTCTTCTTATGCTCACGCTCAAGTTTTGCAGTGGGGTCTTTTGTGACGATGAGATAGGTTGAGGTATCAGAAAGGCTGTTGTTTATGAGCTGTTCGAAGTCTTGTGTATCCATGATAACAGCTGCTTTACCTTTATCGGCTTCAGTGATGGTGATAGCTTTATCCTGTCTGAGTTCAGCAATTGCTTGTCGTTCTTGCACAGAGAGGTTGACCTGATGAAGGGACCTGGAATGGTCTCGAAACGTTGTGAGAGAAATTAAAAAGAAGTTTAATCCATAAAATATCTTGGACATCACTGTACAACTTCTAAATGCCACTGAAAGACACCTACAGGGTAGTTTCACTTGACTTTACATTGAGTTTAGCCTGTTGTCATAATCACGTCCATGCTTGTACTCAGATAGGGATGAGTGCAGAATAGCTACGGGGACAATCTGTGGTCCTGGAAGGTGTATCAATACACCTGGTCTCTTCAAGTGTGAGTGCACCCCTCCCTTTGTTCCTGTCTACAATGACACGTGGTGTGCTCGTAAGTAGGACTGAATGATTGCATATTTTCGGGAACATAGACAACACGCAAATGAATAAGAACAATTAAGTCCAAGTGTCGTTATATTCAAACCAGCTCAAGATCGCAACAAATTAGTGTAATATGCGGTGTATGCACCTGAGGGCAGTGTTTCGAATTTGCAACCACCGTTTTAGTTTTTCTGACCATATTTTCTAAACATCCCCCTTTAGGGGGTACAGTTGCTACAATCAATACACAGTTGAATTGTGCACATTCTCACAAGAACAAAGTCAATGGTTTTACTTGTATGTGTCCCAGGTTTACATTATCCCACAGTTAAAGAGTCACGTATCACTTTCAACATTTTCAGAAGTATTAAGTTCAACTTAAAATGGAAACGTTTGTCCACATTTCAAGCATGATATGGTGAGAAGCCAGTCTAGTGATTACATTTCTAGAATCAGGAATCTGTTGTCGCACACATACAACATGCATCAATTTGTAACGTTCTTGTTCCAGCTCCACCTCCACAGACCAACCAGAACACCTACCAGAACTTGGTACGATACGCCGCCTTAGATGAACTTGTTAACAAGTAATCCTCCAACAGACAGACATGTTTCACATGTAACAAGATGTTACCTTTTAACAAGAAATCCTCCAACAGACAGACATATTTCAAACAAGTACAATATATTAAATAAACTACGTAATCTGATTACAAATGCAATGTATAGATTACAGAAAAAAAATCAGTTAAAAAACAATATTAATAAATAAACAGATATGAAGGACAAATATGACGCAACCTTTCATAGTATTTACTTCAAATATCCATACGTGTTTTCAGAACGCGAAATATGCTGTGATGTATGTTTATGTTGTTTTCGGCCATGTAATAAACCCTGTTCATATACGACCATGCTACATGTCAAGATACTACGTCATGCTCATACAGCTGTTCTAGGCGCCAAGTTAAAGTCCCGATGTAGGGGTTGGGTTCGTTTTATTCAGATGGTTAAGTAGTAGTGAGATATGAGTCAAGATATGCAGTATCTACCCTGGAGAACATATCGCGGTCTAGAGGAAATGACCATGCATCCATCTATCTTTGACCCATATCAACGATCCTTGGATTTCGATCCATGTATTTTTACATATACGGTTTACATGTTAGACGTTTGCAAATTGATAATAATGAGAGTGAATCTCTGATTACCTTGCTCTGGCTGACTACATGTCATCCGAATCGTGAATCACTGATTTACTTTCCCTGGATGAATACATGCCATCGGACCAGTGAGTCACCGATTTACTTGCCCTAGCTAACACATACCATCAGACCCGTGAGTCACTGATTTATTTCATCTGACTACATGCCATCGGACCCGTGAAGCACTGATTTACTTGCTCCGGCTCAATACATGTCATCGGACCCGTGAGTCACTGATTTACTTGCTCCGGCTGAATACATGTTATCAGACCCGTGAATCACTGATTTACTTGCACCGGATGAATACATTCCATCAGACCCGTGAGGCACTGATTTACTTGCTCCGGCTGAATACATTTCATCGGACCCGTGAGTCACTGATTTACATGCCCTGGCTGAATACATGCCATCAGACCCGTGAGTCACTGATTTACTTGATCTGACTACATGTCATCGGATCCGTGAGTCACTGATTTACTTGCTCCGGCTTAATACATGTCATCGGACCCGTGAGTCACTGATTTACGTGCCCTGGCTGAATACATGCCATCAGACCCGTGAGGCACTGATTTACTTCATCTGACTACATGTCATCGGTTCCGTGAGTCACTGATTTACTTGCCCTGGCTGAATACATGCCATCAGACCCGTGAGTCACTGATTTACTTGATCTGACTACATGCCATCGGACCCGTGAATCACTGATTTACTTCATCTGACTACATGTCATCGGATCCGTGAGTCCCTGATTTACTTGCTCCGGCTGAATACATGCCATGGGACCCGTGAGTCACTGATTTACTTGAATTGACTAAATGCCATCAGACCAGTGAATCACTGATTTACTTGCCCTGGCTGAATACATTTCATTGGACCCGTGAGTCACTGAATTACATGCTCTGGCTGAATACACGCCATCGGACCCGTGAATGACTGATTTACTTGCCCTGGCTGAATACACGCCATCAGACCCGTGAGTCACTGAATTACATGCTCTGGCTGACTACATGCCATCGGATCCCTGAGTCACTGATATACTTGATCTGACTACATGCCATCGGACCCGTGAATCACTGATTTACTTCATACATGTGAAGATAAGCGTTGTATACAAGACTCATGCTTCTATTACAATTATATGCTGCTTCTAGTACAACTACACACTGCTATATTCACGTGCTTCCATTACAACTATACACTGCCACCAGCACGTTTTCTAGTACAACTACATACTGCAACAACCACGTGTTTCTAGTACAACTATATACTGTTACTACCACGTGATTCTAGTACAACTATATACTGCTACTACCACCTGTTTCTAGTACGAATACAAACAGCTACTACCACGTGACTGTAGTACAACTGTATTCTGTTACTTCCACGTTGTTCTTGTAAAAATACATAATGATACTACCACGTGATTGTAGTACAACTACATACTGCTACTACCACGTGTTTCTAGTACAACTATATACTGTTACTACCACGTGATTCTAGTACAACTATATACTGTTACTACCACCTGTTTCTAGTATGAATACAAACAGCTACTACCACGTGACTGTCGTACAACTGGATTCTGTTACTTCCACGTTGTTCTTGTACAACTACATAATGATACTACCACGTGATTGTAGTACAACTACATACTGCTACTACCACGTGTTTCTAGTACAACTATATACTGTTACTACCACGTGATTCTAGTACAACTATATACTGTTACTACCACCTGTTTCTAGTATGAATACAAACAGCTACTACCACGTGACTGTAGTACAACTGGATTCTGTTACTACCACGTGATTCTAGTACAACTACATAATGCTACTACCACGTGACTGTAGTACAACTGTATTCTGTTACTTCCAAGTTGTTCTAGTACAACTACATAAAGCTACTACCACGTGACTGTAGTACAACCGTATTCTGTTACTTCCACGTTGTTCTAGTACAACTACATAATGCTACTACCACGTGATTCTAGTACAACTACATAATGCTACTACCACGTGTTTCTAGTACAACTATATTCTGTTACTACCACGTGATTCTAGTACAACTATATACTGCTACTACCACGTGTTTCTAGTACAACTACATACTGCTACTAACACGTGTTTCTAGTACAACTACATACTGCTACTACCACGTGACTGTAGCACAACTGTATACTGTTACTTTCACGTTGTTCTAGTACAACTACATACAGCTACTCCCACGTGATTATAGTACAACTGTATTCTGTTACTTCAACGTTGTTCTAGCACAACTACATACAGCTACTCCCACGTGATTATAGTACAACTGTATTCTGTTACTTCCACGTTGTTCTAGTACAACCACATACTGCTACTACCACGTGACTGTAGTACAACTGTATTCTGTTAATTTCACGTTGTTCTAGTACAACTACATACTGTTACTACAGCGTGACTGTAGTGCAACTGTATAATGTTACTTCCACGTGTTTCTAGTACAACTACATACTGAAACTACCACGTGAGTCTAGAACAACTACATACTGATACTACCACGTGAGTCTAGAACAACTACATACTGATACCACCACGTGAGTCTAGAACAACTACATACTGATACTACCACGTGTTTCTATTACAAATACATTCAGCTACTACCACGTGACTGTAGTACAGCTGTATTCTGTTAATACCACATGATTCTAGTACAACTATATACTGATACTACCACGTGTTTCTATTACAAATACATTCAGCTACTACCACGTGACTGTATTACAGCTGTATTCTGTTACTACCACGTGATTTTAGTACAACTACATAAAGCTACTACCACGTGACTGTAGTACAACTGTATTCTGTTACTTCCACGTTGTTCTAGTACAACTACATAATGCTACTACCACGTGATTGTAGTACAACTGTATAATGTTACTTCCACGTTGTTCTAGTACAACTACATACTGCTACTACCACGTGATTGTAGTACAACTGTATAATGTTACTTCCACGTTGTTCTAGTACAACTACATAAAGCTACTACCACGTGATTGTAGTACAACTGTATAATGTTACTTCCACGTTGTTCTAGTACAACTACATAATGCTACTACCACGTGATTGTAGTACAACTGTATAATGTTACTTCCACGTTGTTCTAGTACAACTACATAAAGCTACTACCACGTGATTGTAGTACAACTGTATAATGTTACTTCCACGTTGTTCTAGTACAACTACCTACTGCTACTACCACGTGACTGTAGTACAACTATATATTGTTACTTCCACGTTCTTCTAACACAACTACATACAGCTACTACCACGTGCTTTATGAGCACTACTTTATGAGGCTAGTGTCAATTAGGTGATAGCTGTACTGTGTTTGACGAATTTGGGACGTATACTGGTGGTTATATAGCCGCAAATTTAGTTATATGGGCGACGCGTAAGCGTGTACAACTACACGAAAAACAGCGTAAAGCGAGTTGAATAAGAATTAGTCCAGTTATCCCCATTCTAATTCAACTCGTTTTACGCTGTTTTTCGTGAAAAAAAATCACTATTTAATCCAGGCCAAAGTTCCTCTAGGTCAAAGTTAATCATATCACTCCTTGAACTTACACCATCGCCAGAAAAAGTAGTTCCCTTTTCAAAGTTCATCACGTTTGTTATGTGCACACTGACTAAATCTGACAATGATGAACAAATCATAGTGGTATAGATAAAATGGACGGAATTATGGTGAAACCGCTCTCTAGCTATCAGAAATGAGCGGCCAGCTGATTCCTCAACTACGGGCCATTATCAGTTCTGTTGTCAAATGACGTCACAGCAGGTGACGTCACGCTCCATAATGACGTCATAAATCTGGTTTCGTGATCGTACAGTGTTGGGTCAACAGCCCCTTGCGAGTAAGTTGTTTGAACTTAAAATTAAATTTATGATACTGTTTTGTCTTTCTTAAACACAAAGTCTACCCATTTTAGCTGGATTGGGGAGTCAATTGACCTAGTGCTTCTGCAAATGACAATGCTCTGAAACACAGCGTTTCCCCAATAGTTTAGGGATACATTCAAAGGTTTTGGAGAATCGGCTTTCAAATTGCGACCGTATATGCTGATTATATGGTCGGAAATTTATAGCATTGACCAATCAGAACTCGTGTTACATACTAAGTTGAATTAGAATAATGCCTTCAGCTACTTGCATATCTAAAACATATGGTGTATTAGTACAGAAAACGGTGCGTTACAACTGAAAACCCTCACCACCAATAGTTTCCCCCAACCACACATTTCTGGTAAAGTACTTATGTAGAAATATCGAAATTAAATGCTACGATTAATGGCCAGAGCAGATCCACAAATACATACCTTATCATGGAAGCACTCCAAACATTATTGAGGACAATACAGCCCCGTCAGTCACAAGTATGGGGTGAGAATGTGTAAATACAACACCCATAAGTCCTGTGACAGAAAAGGGCCCTCGGCGATCCACCCCCTCCGTCTAGCACCCCAGAGGGTGATTGCACGGTCGCTGTGGGGGCGTCACGCCTCGGACCGAGGGTTGCGGCTAGGTCACGGGTGGCAGTTTAGGAGGCATGAAAGCCTTCTACTTGCGAAGTATAACATTGTTAAATAATTAAATTACACAACAATAAAAATGTTGATATCGATATCTCTGCTGATCATTATGACCAATGTCTGATAAACAATATCTACAGGCATCAGACAATCAACATCGGCACCAAATCTGCAATAATTAAATGTTAATACAAATTTGCTTTAAACTGTCATTTGATTTCAAATGCCGATAGTCACTGCATATGCGTACATGTATATTCCATAAACAAGCACCGATATATGACGTAATCACGGCCAAGTACTTGATCCACACTGACAGGTATCTACCTCTCACAGGAAACACTGTAGGAACACTCATCTGATGACATTACAGCCCCGTCAGTCACAAGTATGGGGTGAGAATGTGTAAATACAACACCCACAAGTCCTGTGACAGAAGGGGCCCTCGGCGATCCACCCCCTCCGTCTAGCACCCCAGAGGGTGATTGCACGGTCGCTGTGGGGGCGTCACGCCTCGGACCGAGGGTTGTGGCTAGGTCACGGGTGGCAGTTTAGGAGGCATGAAAGCCTTCTACTTGCGAAGTAAGCATCTGTGTCGTTTTGAAACAATCATTTTCGAAGTAGGCCTGTGAGTATCGCCCCGAAATGATCGCTACCGGGTTGAAATCCCGACAACAATCTATCTCGGTTTGGGATAGCAAAACTGAAGATATACGACTTACCTACCTGCTTATATATACTCCGACAAAAACAGCACCGTCAGCAGTGATTGTGCGACTGTCGAACTGACTTTAGGTGCGTTTCTAACAACAACAACAACACTGTCGTCACTGCTGCATGCATATCAAAGCGAGGTAACTCCACCCTTGGCGCGGTTAACCGCCAGCTCATTGAGCTGGAACTTGACAACTGACACGAAGCTGAATAGACATTTGTCAGGTCTTCTTGGTCTTTGTAGCCGACATGAGAGAGATAATGTGTCCGAGGAATTCTTTTATTATTTGATCGGCGACCTTAGACGAGTCAGAATCAAGTCTCTATACTGTGTTTAAATACACTAGCTTTTTTTAGCAAGATTTTCTGGGTTACAAGTTAACGCAGAAAAAACAGGCTGATATGGACACTTCCACATTGATATTTTCTGCCAATCTTTATGGTTTAATGATAACATGAAGCTAGATGGAAAGTTCATTTATTATGAAAACATGCCAAAAAGGGAATACATTTTGTTTGTGATATTTTAGATTTGAATGGAAATTTCTTACAAACAACTTACATTGAAAAAAAATATGGAATTGTCAAAATATATCTTCTGCACCTTGAAGGCATAAAAAGTGCTGTTTTAGCATATTGTAGATCTCAAAATGTAACTGGTATGGCAGGGGGAATCCAGAGGTGTGTGGGGTGGGGTGGGGGTGGGGTGCGGGGACATCATGATTAATGTGGACCCCGCCTTCTCCAAAATCCTGGATCCGCCCCTGTATAGATAAGATCTGCTATTAGGTACAATATCCAGTAATACATGTCAACATATCTTGGATTTGTGGGGGGAAAAACAAAGGATTAAATCTTTTTACAATTCACTTTTAAACAACGTCAAACCAGACCTAATGGCCAAAATAAATGGGTGGATAATCTTAATAAACATTATAATAAACAATATTGGTCAAATACTTATTTAATGGCAAATAGATGCAGAGAAAGTGTACAGTTAGGGTGGTTTTATTTCAAGATTACACACAGTATTGTAATGACCAAACACAAGTCATGTTTGATGAAATATAATGACTCCGCGTTATGCTATTTCTGCGAATCCATTCCTGAAACAATTTTATATTTATTATGGGAATGTCCTTATAGTGTGAATGTATGGAAGGAAGTACCCAATTGGATAGATGTATTGTCTGATTTTCCCATGAACATATCATCTTTGCTTTTAAAGATAATAAATAATCCACATATGTAGTAATTTTACTAGTGAAATATACATTGTATAAAATTAGCCAAAGCACATAAAGCCAAATTTTAATGTGTTCCAAAGAGAAATACTTCAAATGCAAAATTCTATGCCTTTTGGTCTTCCTTCCATACACACTTTTCAAAAGTTGTTAATCCTTATGTATATTACAACTCAACTTTCAAAATACATAAGAATATTTGTGTCACATATCAATTTCTGATGTATATGACAATTGTATTATTACATGTATTTGAACATGAATATTTGTATCACATATCAACATCTGACTGTATGATGCTCATTGTATTATGATATGTACTGTGCATATTACCCAGAAACATTTGAATTACTTATGTATACCTGTACCACGTATCAGCTTAGAAATGTATGATGATTGTATGATGTACACATACTTTGGGAAATAAAAATACATTAAAAAAATTCATAATTGTTTATTTTACTATAAATATGAGGCAAAATTCTATTGTAATGTAATAAGAAACGCCGAAGAACTGTCTTTGGTTTTGTCTCCCAATAATGAAAATATTAATATTATATTTGATAAGCTTCTTTTTGGTTTAATGCGTTTAATATTCTTTAGGATTAACTATACTTTGATTGAGGATTTCGGCAACATGCCTTAAAGTAGCCAAAGTTGGCACCTACATCCATACTGAGCGGTTAACCGCAAGGATGTATATAATTATGTATATGATTACCCGTCTGGGGATACATTCAGGAAAGGTGTCTAGCATTTCGTTATTGCAACTATTGTGTGGTTGTGTTATAACAAATTATATCCCCGCAAGCTTATACAAACCTATGCTTCATAAACTACAGGTAAAAATCACTAATAGGGAAATTTACCTGCTGGGTAAGGGGTGAGCAGACACACGCATTTAATTTAATTCACTTCAGCTGAAGCTGGGGAAACATGTAGAAACCGTTTATTGACTGTTATGAATAGCTGCATATATAGATGCAGTTTTCAGCATACAAACCACTAAGTACGAAGTCACGTTGGTAGTAAAAGTGTGTAACTGAGCAAAATACTACTATACAAGTTCCAGTACGTGACCCAGCACAAGCTAGTGTACCAGACAAATATTCCGTTTGTTATTCATTCGTATTGATGTTATCATTCTGTAGAGGTTAACCGCGACGCTGTTGCGTTTCAGTTACCTCCCTTTGACCAGATAGCTAGCGTGTCAGGTGTAGGGTGTTGCACAATCACTGCTGACGGTACTGTTTTGTCGGAGTATATAAGGAGGCAGGTAAGTCGATATCTTCAGTTTTGCTATCCCAAACCGAGATAGATTGTTGTCGGGATTTCAACCCGGAAGCGATCATTTCGGGGCGATACTCATACGCCTACTTCGAAAATGATTGTTTCAAAACGACACAGATGCTTACTTCGCAAGTAGAAGGCTTTCATGCCTCCTAAACTGCCACCCGTGACCTAGCCACAACCCTCGGTCCGAGGCGTGACGCCCCCACAGCGACCGTGCAATCACCCTCTGGGGTGCTAGACGGGGGGGTGGATCGCCGAGGGCCCCTTCTGTCACAGGACTTGTGGGTGTTGTATTTACACATTCTCACCCCATACTTGTGACTGACGGGGCTGTAATGTCATCAGATGAGTGTTCCTACAGTGTTTCCCGTGAGATGTAGATACCTGTCAGTGTTGATCAAGTACTTGGTAGCATATAACGTGATTACGTCATATATCGGTGCTTGTTTATGGAATATACATGTACGCATATGCAGTGACTATCGTCTTTTGAAAGCATATGACAGTTCAAAGCAAATTTGTATTAACATTTAATTATTGCAGATTTGGTGGCGATGTTAATTGTCAGATGCCTGTAGATATTGTATATTAGACATTGGTCATAATGATTTATAATGTTTCAACATTTTTATTGTTGTATAATTTAATCATTTAACAATGTTGTAATTTTACTCTTTTGTAGACTAAGTACATACGGTTGCGTTTTAACAATAATGAGATGCCAAAGGTGTATTTATAACAAATGTAAGCAGTGGTGTGGAAGTAGTGTTTCAGTTCAAGGCAATCTGGCATCTCCTAGAACAACTATACACTGATCATGCAGGAGGTATTGATCATGAGACTATGTACGGGCAAGCGCATGCCTCTCACATTACATTACATCAAGACAAGCGGCTGTATGAAGATCTCAGTTACATCATGGATATGCACCGGAGACCTTTGTTGGAAGCTTGACTGTTGTTATCCCCCGCCGCGCGTTTAGCGCGAAGCGGGGGATATAGTATTAGGCTCCGTCCGTCCGTCCGTACGTACATACGTCCGACCTTCACATAATTTTCAAGGTCATGGCGACACTTTGAAGATTTCAGCATGTAAAACTGCATGTTAAGCTATCTAAAGAACCGTTCACTGGATTGTCTTCATATTTGACACCAAGCTTTATCTGGGGTGCAGGGCCCAGTCAATTTTGGTGTTCTTCACTTACATTTCAAGGTCACAGAGACACTTTGAAGATTTCACCATATTAACCTGCAGGTTATGCTTGTCAGCGAGATACCTAAAGAACCATTCACTGGAGTTTCTTCATAGTTGACACCAAGCTTCATCCAGGGAAGGCGCAGGGCCCAGTCGATTTTGGTGACCTTCACTTAATTTTCAAGGTCACAGCGACACTTTGAAGATTTCAGCATGTTAACCTGAATTGTCAGCAAGATATTTCAAGAACGGTTCACTGGATTTTCTTCAGACTTTCAAGACTTCCCTTAAATGTTTTTCAATAAGCAATTTCTTTAGTACTATTTTTGCATATTTCATACACTATGACATTCATGTTCAGGTCAAAGTCAGTCTTGAAAATATGTGTGTGTTTGAACACATAAAGAGCAAGATATCAAGAGAGGTTGATGTTGAGGTCATGTTTTTGTTGACATTTAACTTAAACTTTCATTACTTTATAAGTTTGATTTGATAATTGGCGGCGGGGGATTATGTCACCTTAGTGACAATGCTTGTTGATAGTTGATATTGATATCAGTGACTTTGTTGCTATTAAATCTCCTATTTTATCCGGCAAAGACATTTGGGTTGCCACTCTATTGTGTACTGGCGTGGTAGTTTCTCCGTAGTTATTAGCTTGAATCTGTAAGTCCAGCTAACGTTATAATACAACTGTCAACTGAAAGATTGCTTTGTTTATATTTTTTTTCATTGCATTTTGCTGCGTACAGATTTCAAGGTTAACGTAATGCTTCTCTATGTAAACGGAGCGAGTATGGCTTTACATCGCTTTTAGCTTCAGACATTGTACCCATGTGGGGAATCGAACTGGACTGGCCTTTAGTTTACCCTGGGGTATAATCTGGTGGGGGGCTATTCTGGGCTGCTACACCGGGTCTCCAGAGCGACGAGCGAACGTTTTTAACCACTAGGCTACCCTACCGCCCGTTTTGTACTCGGACTAGTAACAGTTTTGTTTTAGTGTTGTCTTGATTACACGTTCACCACTTCATTCACAGCGCCGTGTGTTGATCGGGTGAAGGGTTCGTGTCCTCGGGGTCTTCCCACTTACCCAACTCCTATTGTTTCAGTAGAAGAAATCACTGGGGCGTGATAATCCCCTTTAATCCCTTATTTTGATCCCTGTGAAATAGTATCCGGGACCCAATGTGATAAAATATCAACTACTTTTGACTCAATGTTTGTCTATATTTATTAATTATATAAAAGTTGTATAACTGGATAACTGTATATATATATATATATATATATATAGTTATCCAGTTATACAACTTTATACAGCATCAACATCATATTACATATTACATCAATATTTCACAGCACCCATTTCACACTTAATATCCAGTTAAATGTGATACTGAGTCAATGTATAACATTACAGTTCTGGCACCGGTTGTTAATTCTCCCTTGTACCTTTCCAAGACATGGTTCAGTGAATCATATCTTCTCTTCGTACATGAAGGTCTGGTACCGTTTCTTATCTGTAGAATACATGCCTCTACCCAGGCTTACTCCTTCTTAAAAATGTCAATGGCCTTATAAATGTTGGGGTGACTTTAGGCAAATACATCACTCACTTTACGATGCCACCCCTCTACATGATTTGTTGTCCTGGACCGTCCGTCTGAAATGGTTCCACATTTCACGGCCATGATCACCCTCCACCAAGTATGTAGTTAGATAGCCCTTGAAGAGATCGATGTTGTCTCCAAGGGGAGCATCTTCTAACTGACATCTTCATGATCTTGTGTAGGGACGAGAGGGAGGACGATCGCACGGCGAACTAGTCGACCAACTTCTGGGTTGTCACAGTAGGCGGTATAGACTAATGCTTAGTCTCTGAATATATACAATTTTGATAGTAACAAACAAGCCCATTTCAATTGGAAAGGAGCCCTAGGGAGACCTGAGGAAATCTAGACATGCTTTATTTAGGGCTTTAGCACTGCAGGGAGAGCTTGGCAGTAGGGAAAATAATGTGGTTCAGGGACTGTGAGACAGAATATAGGCGGTAGTAAATCCATGCTTTAGGGTGCTCTTCCATATAGCTTGGCTATAATGAAAACAACCCAGCCCTTAAGGTTCGTTGCCGGGAATGTCAGCTGGATGGCGTTCTGGGCTGCTATCTCAAAATCGGTGAAGATTGGTGTTGATGGCTGGTGCAGAATCTCGTACACAGGCGAAGAAGCGTTCGTAAGTTGACTGTTTCTTGTTGGGGAGGACACCATACACAAGGGGACATATTTTGTTCTCAATAAAACATGTATTGTGTATATCTGGGTGAAGATGGATGGACACTTGTTGAAGGTAAAATCACAATAGTTGATGGAAGCTCGGGACAGGAGGCGCAAGTTCTCAGGAGTTGCAAAGATGAAGATCTTGTCTTGGTGGCCATCTGCAGCAAGGAGGAAGTTATCGCCTGTCGTGGATTGGGTGTAGACCTCTGGTAAATCTACAAGAGATCGGTGTCGTGGAAGAGGTGGGATGTCCTTGACTCTGCTGCATTAAAGGACGGACTTCATACTGTTGAAGGTTGGGACTAGTGACAGGACCAGTGGCACTGGACACAAGATCTGTGAGATAAATAAGCAACATTAGAAATACAGAAAATTAAACCAATTATATGGTAAAGATACAAACTAGATAATGTGTTCATTCTAAAGATAAGCATGTTTTGATCATAAACTGAATTTAAAAAAAAGATCTATTACCTGATACACCTTCCAGGTAAATAGCTGAAATCGGTTTGGACTGCTGACGAACCATGTCTTTGAGGGGTGCAAGGAAAGTCTCAACTGCTCTCTGGGTCTCGTCTGGCTGGTGGCTGTGTACATCCTTGTAAGATCTCACAAGGTCATCTTTAGTGTTAAATGTTGACCGACAGTCTTTCTCACTACATTTCCAATGGATGTAAGTATGTCGTCTGGTCTTGATACTAAAACTCTGTTTACCTCTGTAGACCAAGTACTGACCGCCGCGTCCAATGGGAATGAAACGAGTGCTTACTTGAACATTACCATAGTGCAATGGAGAAACAAGGAAATCTCCATACTTTAGAATATGGAATAGCTCACTCAATTAAAATTCAATTTGTAACAAATAATATGAATATAGTTCACTTAGTGTATCTTGTGAAACCGGCGGTCATGAGATTGCCCTAATTGGCCATGATTGGAGTGCTGGGTGAACTTATGGAACAGCCAAAGCAGGGGTAACAAATTCACCCTGCACAATAAATGACCCGTAACTGTTAATCTCTTTTAATCCCCCAGCAAGTTGTGTAACATTCGTTCTGAAAAGGAAAATATTTGACAAGGAAACCAGGAGAAGTAAGCGCATCTATAACCAGGACAACCTCCAAGAACTGGATCGCCTGTGTTAGGAAAATACAAACGAATTTTCGAAAAACTCGGTAAAATTGGAGTCGGCTGCAACTGGATTCAGTCTATACCGGCGGAGGTCAGACTACCTCCCTATCAGCCAATAAAGAGACTGTTCTGAATACATGGAGAGCGAAGTATAGCAGTCTGCTGAACGTCGACAGCACAGGGTCCGAACCCGACCCATACGATCACGTGAGATCAGAACATGGACAAGACACCAACGAGGCTGACATAAACAAAGGGATTACATACGAAGAAGTATATGCAGCGATAAGAAGTGCTAACAAGAGCAAATCCCCGGGGTGTGACAACATACCTTCAGATATTCTCAGAAATACAAATGTGTCCATTTTCTGCATAAACTTTGTAAGATGTGTTTCCTAAAGGAGTAATGCCAAGTGAGTGGATGAAAGGAAGTATTAAGCCTATTCCAAACTCATCAAGTGCTGATAGGTACGACTCACTGTCCTACAGAGGAATATCTCTCACCAACTCCAGGTATAAGCTATATTGTTCCGTTTTAAATAGAAGGCTTTACAAATACGCCGAGAACAACGATATCATAGCAGACGAACAAAACGGTTTTAGGAAAGGAAGATCGACTTTTGAACATCTCTCATCAATAGCATCAATTATCGAAACAAGGAAGATCGACTATTGAACATCTCTCATCAATAACATCAATCATCGAAACAAGGAAGATCGACTATTGAACATCTCTCATCAATAACATCAATCATCGAAACAAGGAAGATCGACTATTGAACATCTCTCATCAATAACATCAATCATCGAAACAAGGAAGATCGAGTATTGAACATCTGCTCTCTCCACTGTTGTTTAATGTATACAGAAATGACCTAATTGTCAATCTAAATGGACTGGATATGGGTGTGACTTTGAATGATGAGAAAATATGTATTTTAGCCTATGCGGATGACCTTGTGCTTTTAGCAGAAAGTGAAGCGGATCTTCAAGTTCTCCTCGACTGCCTACAAAATTGGTGTGACGTCAACAAAATGACTGTGAATAATGACAAGTCGAAGGTTCTCCACTGTAGAACTGTGTCAATCCCGAGGACAACTTTTATATTTAAATGTGGAAATGTGACTCTTGACACTGCGGACAGTTATTGCTACCTCGGACTTCTCATCACAGAACATTTAGACTATACCTGCATGGAGAAAGCAGTTGCCAGCTCTGCAACCCGGGCACTTGGACTGCTTATATCCAAATTCAAGCCGCTTGGAGGCATGAGTATTAATACATATACTAAAATGTACAACTCTATGGTTTGGTCAACCATTGCATATGGATCCGCTATATGGGAGAAGTAAGACGCTAACTGCAATAAAAACTGTACAAAATAGGGCCATGAAGTTTCTTATGGGACTTAAGAAAACCGCACCGAGCGCGGCCGTTGAGGGTGACATGGGCTGGGCACCTGCATGTGTGAAGACCTTGGGGAGTGTGATGAGAGTGTACACCAGAACCAACAGTCTACACAGAGATCGGCTCACCTACAAAATCTTCCAGTGGACGAGATCACTAGCACTGAAGAACAAGATTAACAGGATTAAAAGAGTTTGCCTTAAACTTACATCTCTAAACTTGCATGAATTATTTGATGTCAACAATGGACTTCACACCAAGCAAGTAGTACACAGGGTCCAAGATGCGATATTTGAACAACACATAAAAGGATGGAAGAGGACGATAATCTGTACTCACAGCCAGTCTGGCAGGGGAGGTAACAAACTGAGACGATATGCTACTTTCAAGACGGGATATGGGAGTGAACAATACATCAGCAAGACGATGACCAGAAAACAAAGAAGGGCTCTCTCTATGTTCAGATGTGGCGGAGCCCCCTTACACGTAGAGACAGGCCGTTTAAACAATGTCCCTCTAGAGGAAAGAGTGTGTTTTTACTGTAACATCGTTATAGAGGATGAGATGCACGTGCTTTTTAACTGTCCCTTATATACAAATACCACTAGAAACATGCTATGTTTATGTTCAGTTTTAAAAGACGATTTTAATTTTATGTCACCTGTTGATCAGTTTGCTTTTATAGTGTCAAACCCAGATATTTAAAAATCTAGTGCCAAAACATGCATGGATGTCTTAGAGGAGAGGAGATCTCTTTTATATCACAAGTAATGTTGACTTTTTGTTACATTATAGTGAGTATGTTTTAACTATTGTATGTATTTTTATTCTTATAGTCAATCGTAATCCCATAAGGGATAGCTCAGCAAAGGTATAGTTTATACGTGTAAATATTTTATATATGTTATACTTGTATGAGGTGAGACTTAAATAAAGCATCTGTCTGTCTGTCTGTCGGTCGGTCGGTAAGTGGGAATGAGCCGTGTCCTCTGTCGGGGGTAAAACCCTGTAATAACACTTCATGTCCTTGCAGCAATACCAAGAGCAAGGACACCGTGTAACAAACATGTTAGATGTCGTTAATTACTGTGTTGCTCTATTTAGTGTCGTATTAGCCGACACTGGGGTAAGAGGCACAAAACATATACAATCTGGCAACGGAGATATTCCAGGTGGCAGTTACATACAGAGAAACCTTGAGTTCCTTGTATTTTGTTGATGAAAATGTTGTAAAGAAGTAACGTTTAGACATTTCAATCATCGTCACTTGGTATCCTGAAGAAAATATATCCCGGGTCCCAAGACAATTGTTCGGCGACTTGAAGTAGCCACATTGGCATTTAGCCGTTTGTATTTCTCAAATGAAGAATTTCAGTTTCAGTAAGATTTACATAGACTTGAAACACAGCAGTACAACTATGAGAGGCAGGGCGAAAAACACAGCAGTACAACTATGAGAGACAAGGCGAAAGACACAGCAGTACAACTATGAGAGGCAGGGCGAAAAACACAGCAGTACAACTATGAGAGGCAGGGCGAAAGACACAGCAGTACAACTATGAGAGGCAGGGCGAAAGACACAACCAGGGCAAAGCGGCGAAGTCAGGCTGACAAGTAGTCAGCAGATGAGCTGCATTGGCTGTTCGTCCTTGTCCCTGGCTGGCCTTTTGCTGATCTGTCCGCGCTCTTCCCGCTGTCTGACGGCGCCTCCTTGCTTGTAGGTGAACGACTTGGCTGGCCACATCATTTGAGAGGACGTGAAGTGCATACGTCGCCAAATAATATACGGGAGAATGAGTGAGCACTTTCCCGCCCCTTTTAGCAATATTCAATATTACGGCAGTTGACATCAACATCTAGCTTCACGCAGTGAACCCATTATGGCAATCAGAGTGACAAGTACAACACTAGGCTACAACACTGCTATTCCTTTGATTATCCACATAACATACCT